ACTGGTTGTTTACCCTCAGTTTACTGGTTCAGATTGTGTTGCTATTGCTTTACCTTTCACACTTTTTTTTATTCCTTGTATGCCTTGTAAAATTGGTAGTTTAATCTGGAAGTCTCATCAGATTTATGTTCAATTCCTTTGGGAAGACTGCTGTACATAGCATTTGTCTACTTTATTCCAGAGGCACGTATTGTCTTGGCTTTGTTTTTGTGAGGCTAGCATCTATCTATTAATTGATGATTTTTGCTGCGATCCACTAATTCATTAGGGAAGGCAGAATGATGTTCTGTTAATTCTATAATTTTTTTTCCATTTACTAGCTAGAATACTTTTCTACATATAAATTTCTCCTCTCCATTTGGTTATATGGCTCATTTAGGAAAGACAAGTTTCAAAATACCAAGTAGTCTCTTGAGACTCTTGGATTTTTCATTTCATTGCTATTATGAGCTCATAGGTTTAAACACATTTCAAGTATTTCAGTACATTGAAGTTGAGATCCTTTTCGATGTTTAAGTGGTTCCATGTAGCCAGGGGGAATCCCCTTAAGTTGCTTTCTGAGTCCTTTTGAAACATCCTTATATATTTGATAGCATTCTTTTTTAGTCAACATTTTATTTTAAAATAATTTGTAATTCTCAGAAAAATTGCAAGGATTGTACAAAGAAATCCCATATTCCTTTTGCCCAGATATTCCAGTTGTTAACATTTTCCCACATATGCTTTATTGTTTATCTGTATGTATGTATGTGTGTCATATATATGTGTGTGTGTGTATGTGTATATATATATATATATATATATACACACACACTTTTTTTCCTGAACCATTTGAAACTGGGTATCATACGTCACACCTCTTTACTCCGTATTTTTCATATTGTACCTCCTAAGATCAAGAATATTCTCATGTATATCCATTGTACAGTACTTGACTTCAGGGAATTTAACACTGATACAATACTTTCATCTAAACTGCAGTTCATTTTCCAATTTTGCCAGTTTCCCAGTAATTTCCTTTATAGCAATTTTTTTAATTCTGGTAGCAGATTAGTCCAGGATTATGATTTGTGTTTAGTTTTCAAGCTTTTTAAGTCTATTTAATACTTGCAGAATTACAGGCCAGTTATTTTATAGGAGTCTTTGAATTTAGGTTTCCCTGATGTTTCTTCATGATGAGATTTAGATTGTGAATTTTGGGTGGAGTACTACATGAACCTTTTAAATTTGTGGCTCAGAAGAGGGTCTATCTTGGAAACATTCCTCATATACTTGAGAAGATGGCTTGTTCTACTCTTGCTTGGAGTGTTCTGTAAATGTTAATCATATCCAGTTGGTTGGTGGTCAGTTGTGTTGTTTAAAGTGCAATGTATCCTTGCCGATTTTCTGCAAGTGAGAGAGGAATTGCAATCTCCTGTAAATTTGCTTTTGTCTATTTCTCTTTTGAGTGATGTTGGCATGGTATATCTTATTGCATCCTTTTACTTTTAACCTGTTTGCATCTTTATATTTAAAGTACATTTCTCGTAGGCAGCATATATTTGGGTCTTGCTTTTTTTTATTCAATCTGACCATTTTTGCCTCTTAATTGGGGTGTTTAGCCCATTTACATGTAATATAATTATTGATATAACCAGTTAGGTTATAGTCTGTTGTCTTTGTTCTCTATTTGTCCCATCTTCCTTATTTCTTTTTTCTTCTTAGTCTTCCTTCCTTTTGATTAATTATTTTTTATGATTCCATCTTATATCCTCTGTTGTCAGCTATAACACTTTTGTTATTTTAGTAGGAATGTTAGGATTTATTGTATGCAACTTGAATTATAATCATTTATCTTCAAGTAATACACCATTTTACTTAAAGCATAAGAATCTTACAATAGCTCCCCTCTTGATCTTTACACTATTGTTACATTTTACGGGTGGTATCAATACTACAATACATTGTGCATTGTTATTTTTAATTAAACAGTTATCTTTTAAAGAGATTGTTATTTGTAATTAAACAGTTATCTTTTAAAGAGATAGCTTTTACTTTTTCTTTATCAATTATGTTCCTGTAATTGTTTTTTTTTTTCTAATTGGAAATAATGAACATTTTACCTTGTTCTTGATCTCAGTGGGAAGGTGTGTAGTGTTTTCCTGTTAAGTAAAATCCTGACTTTTAGACTGAGAGGACTGAGGCATAAATGTGTATTTGTGTGTGTGTGCATTTTTTTATATACGTATAAACTTAATGAAGTATATATATGTGCTTGCATATAATTGAGATATATATATATACACATGTCACATATACAAGTATATATTATATATGTTACATGCACATTAGGGTATAAGAGTGTATGTATATATTTGTGTATATACATATATATTGATGTTAATGATGTCAGTTCCTACTTTCTTGAGGTTTTTTTTTTTAAATTAGGTATGCATTTTCAATATCGTCAGACTTCTTCAAGTATTTTTGGAGAGAAAAGGTTTTTCTGGCCAGGCGCCGTGGCTCACGCCTGTAATCCTAGCTCTCTGGAAGGCTGAGGCGGGCGGATTGTTTGAGCTTAGGAGTTCGAAACCAGCCTGAGCAAGAGCGAGACCCCGTCTCTACTAAAAATAGAAAGAAATTAATTGGACAACTAAAAATATATAGAAAAAATTAGCCAGGCATGGTGGCGCATGCCTGTAGTCCCAGCTACTCGGGAGGCTGAGGCAGGAGGATCACTTGAGCCCAGGAGTTTGAGGTTGCTGTGAGCTAGGCTGACGCCACAGCACTCTAGCCCAGGCAACACAGTGAGACTTTGTCTCAAAAAAAAAAGGTTTTTCTTAGCTGTGTTATATAATAATAGCATATTATATTAATGGATCTCCAACTATTAAACCAGTCTATATTTTTGGAATAAGTCCCATTTGGCTGTTATATTTTATTTTTTTAATCTATAATAGTATTGGATTTTGTTTGCTTATTTTATTTTAGGTATTTGCATTGATACAAGTGATATTGGTATGTAATTTTATGTTTGTTGATTGATTGATCAGTCTTTTAGCCCCTGCTACCCCCTTGCCTTTGCACAGGTGGTGAGTTGGTAGACAAGGTTAATTTGCTCAAATGGCTTTACATTGATAGTAGTTTTCTAAGAGTTACCTTTAGGGGAAAAAAATGCATGCCCAATGTGAATAGTGTTGAATATATGTCCTGGTTGGTGTGACAGTCTTGGATTGCACCTATATTCCTGGTATCCCATCTGGTTTATCATTTGTCCCAGACAGAGGTTTTCTGTTTGGATAGTGAATACACGGTCACCCTGATTGTGGAGGTCTGAGGCGTCGTGTACTCTGCGGTGGCTCTGGCTGCTGTGCCATAGCCAGAGGGCTCTCATCAGATTCAGCATTCATGTGGCTGCTGTGCATGCTTACAGCAGGCCCCCGCCCAAGCTGCTCAGGTCTTCCTGTGGCTCGTTTCTCTATCAGCCAGTCACTCTACTTCCCGCAGGCCGTTTGGGTGCGTTTCAGGGGCTCTGTCAGAGAGTCTGCTGTTCGCTTTTGCTGCGGCACAACATCTGCCCCTGTATAAAGTTGTGTCCTGTGGCTCTAGTTTCTTTGTCTTCTACTCTTCTCTGTATCTCAAGAATTTCCTCTAAGAAATTCCTGTTGTTGGGAACCTCTGTGTTCTGGTGCTTTTCTGAAAACATTGTCTATTTTTCTATATCTTAGAATTGGACTTTTAGATTTTTGTTTTTTAGACAGGAAAGCAACTGTGTATGTTTGACTTACTCTCTTGAATTAGAAGGGACCCTATTGTCAAAAAGCTGTCCTTAAGAACATGCTTATTGGTCTTTTTGACCTATTATTCTACACCAACCTCTTAAACATTGGTGCTGCTTCAGTTTTTGCCATTGGTACTTTTTACACCTCATCTTCTCCCCTGCCCTCTTAATTCTGTTGAATACATAATTCATCTTTAAAGAGTAAAAGTTGACTGAGTCTGTGAACCCTGATCTGATAGCGTAAAGTTAGACTAATTTGATGACCTTTTGTTAAACCATTCTGTACCTTGTCTAGTGACACCCTTCAGTATTCATTCAATCAAAAATTTATTTCTGCAAGAATGAGATGTTTGAGGTAAAACTTGAAGGAAGTAAAAAACTTAGCCATGCAGTTAGCCAGAGGCTGCTGGCTGTGAGCATAAAAGAGCCAAAGGGGCCGGGCGCGGTGGCTCACGCCTGTAATCCTAGCACTCTGGGAGGCAAGGCGGGCAGATTGTTTGAGCTCAGGAGTTCGAGACCAGCCTGAGCAAAAGCGAGACCCCGTCTCTACTAAAAAATAGAAAGAAATTAATTGGACAACTAAAAATATATAGAAAAAATTAGCCGGGCGTGGTGGCGCATGCCTGTAGTCCCAGCTACTCGGGAGGCTGAGACAGAAGGATCGCTTGAGCCCAGGAGTTTGAGGTTGCTGTGAGCTAGGCTGACACCACGGCACTCTAGCCCGGGCAACAGAGTGAGACTCTGTCTCAAAAAAAAAAAAAAAAAAAAGAGCCAAAGGCTCAGAGAGCTGAAACTAGGTCAGAGTGAAGAGCCAGAGCAGGGGGTTGGGAAGAAGAGAGACCAGGGACTGAATAGTGGACACTCCAACTTGAAGAGATCCAGGAGAAGGGGAGGGACTAACAGCAAAGGAGACTGAAGGGAGTGACTAGGAGTAAAACATCTAGGTTTATATGTGTATCTCCTTGTCAGGCTGTCAGCTTTTTGAGAGCAGTAATGGTATTTTGCTCATCTTGTTCCCTCAAAACTCAGTTCAGTCACAAAACAGAAACTCAGTTGTGTTTTGGGTTTTTTTGGGGTTTTTTTGATATATTAAAGAACCCAAAGGAAATATGTTTCCAGTATGGTTTGTTTTCCTTCCACAGTCTGTAACGTAACATAAGATATACAGTGTTCATGGTTAACTTTACCAGTGAGCATGGTAAGATCTTGTCCTCATGTGCCACATTACCCACTTGCAATCATGGTGCCATTACAGGGGCCAGTGTCATTCAAGGATGTGGCTGTGGACTTCACCCAGGAGGAGTGGCAGAAGCTGGACCCCGATGAGAAGATAACATACAGGGATGTCATGCTGGAGAACTACAGCAATCTAGTTTCTGTGGGTGAGGATAGCTTGCTTTTTGAGTGCTTTCGATTTAATGATTTTATCCTTGAGTTTGAAGAAATAAATGATAAGACCATTTAATTCCTTTTGGGCACTAGGTAGAGCATTCATTTGTATCTTCTTCATTGCAGGGTTCTAATTTTAGTAAGGTAAAAAAAAAAAAAATGGGACACTTTCACATCATCTTATATTTCAGAGGTTCTAAAGCCAAGCAGCGGGTCCAAGTCCTTCTTCTTATCTCATTAACAGGATATGATATTACCAAACCAAATGTGATCATTAAGTTGGAGCAGGGGGAAGAGCCATGGATAATAGAAGGTGAATTCTCATGTCAGAGTCATCCAGGTAAGTTAACACAGTATCAAAAAATGGTCCTCCTAGACCTTTGGGAGTGATAGTTTTTTATATATATATATATATATATATATATATATACCTGAAACCACACCTCCCAATACCCAAATACCACTTTCCCTCCAGCACACATGATCAGGCTCTTTTTTTCATTTTATGTTTCATTTACATTGGCAGGGATTTTCTATGCTAACCAGTACAGTACTGAGTATCCAATAACTTCCTCTTTCTCTAGCACTGTCAATAACCTAACTACTCCCTTTTGTTTTGCGGCATCCAAAAGTTTGAAATAAAAATTAACTTGAGTCTTTCATGTTCATTCTTTTTATCTTCTATTTTCTTTCCTTCTTTGCTGTAAAATGCCTCAGACTTCTTTTTTGCCCCAATTTTATTTACCTCTGTAGGCATCGAGATACCAAAACCTCATCCTCCACCTAAGCTTGTGGATTGAGTCACACCTGTAGTGGTCTGCATTATTCTCGAAACCCACCCTCCACTGATGTGCTGATACAACACTGACCGCGTTTTCCTCTCCTTCCCCAAGTGCTCGTTTATGTCTTGTCTGTCTATTCATTCCCCGCCCCCCGTAACTGGAATGATGCTTTGTCCATAGTAGACATTCAGCAAGTGTTAATTTCATAAGTGAATTTTGGTTCATTCTCTTGCCTTTTCGGGAGTGTCCTCCTAGGAGCTGTTTTCTGCTTTTTTGGTTTTCATTGTATCCCTTAAAAGGGTTCATCTAGTCTCAGTTTTTAAGGCTTTTTTCCCCCTTGTATTTGTGCTGCTGATATCCATATTGATGTCTCTAACACCTTTAACCTATAATCTAGTTGAATGTTTTACCTGACAACATGGAAGCACCAGTGAGATAGTCTACTTCCTTCTTTCTCAGAATGTCTGATGATAGACTATGAACTTCCCCAAATCATGAATTCTGTCCACCTTCCTCAGCTCCCACTATTTGTGAGATCGTACTAGTCTCTCCATGGTTTTTGTTTTTTGTCTTCTGTGACACGCCTTACAGCTTGTCTGCATATTCGCAGTTTCTTCTGACATCAGTGTCCACCAATATTCTCCCATACCTGGATTATAGTGATTCCTATTTGGAAATTGCAAAATCTGTTTATCTGAAGCATACGTTTGATCTTATCACTAGCCTGACAAGATAAGCCTATGACTATTCTGTTGCTTTCTAAACGGAATTTAAAGTCTTTTCCCTCAGGCCCCCGCAATATGATCCTATAATGGTCTATTAGAATTAATATTCTTCTGTTTCTGCAAACTCTTGTTACATTCCATTTGGTCTAGATTTCTAGACCATTTTTAAGTGTCCAGTTTAGTAATGTAAACTGTATTCACATTGTTGTGCAGTAATCTCTGGAACTTCGTCCTTTAAATTTAAGCTTAACAGTTGAACTCCATGAAATTTCCTTTATTACTCGTTCACCACTTCAGTCTTTCTCTTCTTTTAATATCAATTCCACTTAGTAATTGTTACCACAGAGAAGTGAGATATGATTATATACTCTGATATGTAGTTGCATATATTTGTTGATTCAGCCTTCTCTACCTGAAGTATAATCCTCCAAAGAGGAAGGACCTTTTTATTCTTCTTAGCTTTGTTATATAGTAAGTAGGCATTCAGTAAGTTTTTTATTGACTAACTGGGGAGCTTGGTAAATGAAAGACCTTTATTATTCATCCATTGAGAGATCATTTATTCTGAACTATAGATTCTGATAAAACAGATAGGGGTTAGAGTAGAACCTGTAAGTACCCATTTGATTCAGATTAGGAACTACTACTTTAATTTCTATTTGGAGAGATTCAAAGAAAATATGAATACTTTCTAGGAGTGTAGGTTTTGGTTAGGAAATAAGAACATGGCTGCCTTAACTAGTTTAAAATCCAGCTTTCATATGGAAAATTTATATTCTCATGCACATTTTACAACTTTGTGTTAAAGCTATTTTAAAATTTAAAGAAAAGAGGCCGGGCGTGGTGGCTCACACCTGTAATCCTAGCTCTCTGGGAGGCTGAGGCGGGTGGATCGTTTGAGCTCAGGAGTTCGAGACCAGCCTGAGCAAGAGCGAGACCCTGTCTCTACCAAAAATAGAAAGAAATTAATTGGACAGCTAAAAATATATAGAGAAAAAAATTAGCCAGGCGTGGTGGCGCATGCCTGTAGTCCCAGCTACTCGGGAGGCTGAGGCAGTAGGATCGCTTGAGCCCAGGAGTTTGAGGTTGCTGTGAGCTAGGCTGACGCCACGGCACTCTAGCCCGGGCAACAGAGCGAGACTCTGTCTCAAAAAAAAAAAAAAAATTTAAGGGAAAGAGATTCAGTAAGATGAGAAGAGATTAGATAAATGTTTTAAAGCTTCCCCTGAAGATAGGCTTTTAGTATAGTCAATGCTGGAAGTCAAATTGAGTGAAAAAGAATGTGGAAAAAGAACACGAGCACAGACTTGTAATTGAGAATAAACAAGGCATAGCCTAGGCTTGTGGGAACAGAAGGTATTGTTGGAAGATTAATGCAGTGCTAGCTCGAATACATATTGTGAATCCAAGCAACGAAAAATGTTGTTAATAACTTTTCTGTGTTTTCTGTTGGTGTTTTGGGTGTTTGGGTTCAGGGATGTTGTAGATTTTCTGAACAAAATACTGTCAGCATTGCATTGAATGTGAGTGATAGCAGCTAACAGTAGTTGAAAGAATCCAAAAATATGTAAGTTATGTAAAGTAAAAGTTAATATTGTAGGGGCAGCTTTCGGAATCTGATACATAAGGTTTTACACCAAATGAAACCCAGGAGTGTGGGAACCCTTATTTGTATTCAAAATCAAGTAAAAAGAGATGTGACTGGTTTTAGGAAATTTAAGTCAGCAAATTGAAAGAAAATGAATGGCTAAATTTAATGAGCATTTGCTTTGTGTTATGACGCATTCTAAGCAGTTTACATGTACTAATTAATTTAGTCCTTTTACAACCCTATGATTTAGGCACTATTATCCACGAGTCAGATGAGTGAAACCGCGTCACAGTTAAGTAACTCGCCCAAGGTTCCCCAGCCAGTAAACTGTTGGAGTTGGGGGTTTGAAGTGAGGTAGCCTGCTCCAGTGTTCATGCTCTTAATCACTGTGCTATATTGTGCAAGCAGGAAAGGCAGAATTTTTGATGGTCAAATAAGGTCAGTTAGTATCACACTATCAGAACACTTCAAAGATCTGATCTTAAGATACTTTGCCCCCTTCTGGGTTATCTTACATTTCTTTTGGACATTTATGTGCCTGGATGTCTTCTGCAGGTGAGTGTGAATCAGGTTTGAGAGTTGAAACCCTGGTTGTGGGGTCTCTCTCTAAACATGAAGAAATTGGAGCTTTTAGAATGTTTTTTTTTTTTTGGATTTATTTGCAGAATAGAAAGGCAAAGATTTTGGAAGGATCTAGGCTACTGGGAATGTTACCATAGTCATCTTGGTATGAAGTGATATCTTGTAGTTTAATAGAAATTGTAATCTCTTTCTCCCAGATGTAATCCATACTTGAATATTTCCTCTGTATATACACCCAGTAATTTTTTTTTTTTTTTTTTTGCTCTCCCATTGACCCTATTTGCTCTGAGTTCTCCCATTTTTGCCTGGATCTAGCACTCTTTTAGTGACTTTATTCTCTGCTCATAATTTCCTGGGTTTATTTCACCTTTTCTACCAGTTTTGAATATAATATTTGTAAAGTAACAAAAGTACTTGTATTTAATGTGAATTTGTTCACCCTTTTTCCACTATTGCTAAGTTGTGTCTCACCCTTATCCCTTCCCCATGTCCACCCACCCGTGTGTATGTGTGTGTGTAGTATATGCATTTTGTATTAGAAATCAAAGGAAAAAGGGAATTTTACATTTGTACTTATTTTGTGTGTGTGTGGAGATTGGCCCTAAAGCCAGAGTCAACCTCACAACAGGGTTCTTGGGTACCATTCCCTTTCTGTAGCTGGTGTGTTCAGATTCACAAAGTTTGTTTGATTTTATTCCTTTTTAGAAGAAGTCTTGAAAGTTGATGACCTGATAGAGAGAATCCAAGAAAATGAAGGCAAACATTCAAGGCAATCTATTTGTATCAGTAGCAAAACCTTGATTGAAGAGAGACAGAATACTTTTGATAAAACTTATATGGAAGCAAGCCTTGTTCCTTCAAGCATAATAGCTCATAATTGTGTCTCATGTGGAAAGAATTTAGAATCCACTTCAGAATTAATTAGTAGTGATGGAAGCTATGCCATAAAAAAGTCCGATGAGTGTATTGAATGTGGGAAAACATATCATGGAGAGAAACCCTATGAATTTAATCAAAATGTAGATACCTATTCTCAAAATGAAAGTGTTCTTCAGAAAATTAATATTTTGGAGAAACCCTTTGAATACAATGAATGCATGGAAGCCTTAGACAGTGAAGCTGTTTTCATTACTCACAAGAGAGCTTACATGGGGGACAAACCCTATGAGTGGAATGATTCTGGACCAGACTTCATACAGATGTCAAATTTTAATACATATCAGAGATCACAAATGGAAATGAAGCCCTTTGAATGCAATGAATGTGGAAAATCCTTCTGTAAAAAGTCAAAATTTATTATACATCAGAGGGCTCACACAGGAGAGAAACCTTATGAATGTAACATATGTGGGAAATCCTTCAGTCAAAAGGGAACCCTCACTGTACATCGGAGATCACACTTAGAAGAGAAGCCCTATAAATGTAATGAATGTGGGAAAACCTTTTGCCAGAAGTTACATCTCACTCAACATCTGAGAACTCATTCAGGAGAGAAACCCTATGAATGTAACGAATGTGGGAAAACCTTCTGCCAAAAGACACATCTCACCCTCCACCAGAGAAATCATTCAGGAGAGAGGCCCTATCCCTGTAATGAGTGTGGAAAATCCTTCTCCCGCAAGTCAGCTCTCAGTGACCATCAGAGAACACACACAGGGGAGAAACTTTATAAGTGTAATGATTGTGGAAAATCCTACTACCGAAAGTCTACCCTTATTACACATCAAAGAACACACACAGGAGAGAAACCGTATCAATGTAGTGAATGTGGAAAATTCTTTTCCCGGGTGTCATACCTTACTATACATTATAGGAGTCATTTAGAAGAGAAACCCTATGAATGTAATGAATGTGGCAAAACCTTCAATTTAAATTCAGCCTTTATCAGACATCGGAAAGTACATACAGAAGAGAAACCCCATGAATGTAGTGAATGTGGAAAGTTCTCTGAATTGTCATATCTCACTGACCACGCAACTCATTTAGGAGAGAAACCCTACGAATGTAATGAATGTGGGAAAACCTTCCTTGTAAATTCAGCCTTCAGTGGGCACCAATCACTTCCAAAAGGGGAGAAATCCTATGAATGTAATATATGTGGAAAATTATTCTCTGAGTTGTCATACTACACTGAACATTATAGAAGTCATTCAGAAGAGAAACCCTATGGATGTAATGAATGTGGGAAAACCTTCTCCCATAATTCATCCCTATTTAGACATCAAAGAGTACACACAGGTGAGAAACCCTATGAATGTTATGAATGTGGGAAATTCTTCTCTCAGAAGTCATATCTCACTATACATCATCGAATTCATTCAGGAGAGAAACCCTATGAATGTAGTAAATGTGGAAAAGTCTTCTCTCGTATGTCAAACCTCACTGTACACTATAGAAGCCATTCAGGAGAGAAACCCTATGAATGTAATGAATGTGGGAAAGTCTTTTCTCAGAAGTCATACCTCACCGTACATTATAGAACTCATTCAGGAGAGAAACCTTATGAATGTAATGAATGTGGGAAAAAATTTCACCACAGATCAGCCTTCAATAGCCATCAGAGAATTCATAGAAGAGGAAATATGAATGTACTTGATGTGGGAAATCTCTGAAGTCAAATCTCAATTTTTAGAAAATCCTTTGAATATAATGAATATAGGAAATCCACTAGGGAATCAAATATAATTGTTCATCCGAGAGTTCATGTTCCTGAATAGAGAAAAGCATTTAGGCATTAGATTCATTTTAATCTGAGTTTTCACAGAGAAGACTCCCCAAGAATGCAACAAGAAGCAAAGCCTTCATCAAGACTATATAACTCATTGGACACTAGATAATGTATGCAGGAGTGAAATTTTATAAATATTTAATATTTATTTTGGATTCAAATTGTATTTATATATCAGGGAATCATACTAAGGAGAAATCTGTCAATATGATGAATGTGGAAAATATATAATCTTGTAATTATACTAAAAGCCATATTTCTGATGTAAAATCACATGTTTATAGGAAAGATAGTAGAAGCTAACAGCTCTGAATAAACCTTCATTGTGTAAAATGAAGTTACAAAATCATCAGGAGTTGATCATGAGGACAGTAGTATTAATTAAGTATATGGCAGTTCCTGTCATGTTTTTAAAATGCAGTCTAATGGTAATTCTATGCAAGTTTGGATTTGAATAATTCGTGAAAAGGTAGTATTCTTATTTGACTATTACGATGGCAAAATGTATTAACACGGTATATATTGTTGGTGAAATAATATTTGATAGATATAAGAGAGAAATATAATTTTCTATTCTTTAGTGGAATTTACAAATGGGTTTTTAATGACTGCCTCATCAGTAGAGAAGGTAGTGGATTTTGTAAAGTTTTCAACTGCACTTAAGCAAAAAAAGGTTTTAAAAATACTATTTTGATAAATTATATATACGTAATTTGGAATTAAGTCTATTTCAGTGAAAGAACAAGCATACTACTGCTCATCCTCTCCAAAATATCTCCAACTCTCATACCACTCTTTTTAATCCATAGGTTTGAGTGTGCGGAGTGCCAATATTATGTAATTCAGCAATTTTATCTGAATTTTTATTTGATATAAATACAATGTCATTATTTTGTGCATTGCCCCTTATTCTCAGTATTTTGGAACAAAGTAGTACAAGTTTCTAGCAGACATTTTTTGGTCAATTAAAGTCGTTTCTCCACTTTTCCTTGTTGGAAAAGTTTGGGTACCTAGCATTTCTTCACATGATACAGAGGGTAAATCCTGATTAGTCTAAACCAGTAGTGATAATCTCATTCTGATGAATTGTTTATGGTGGTTGTGTGACCCAATCTTGTGCAAACAAAATGGAGATGGGTTCTGGGAAAAGGATAAAATGGTGATCAAATGGATCTTCCAGGAATGCAAGAGTGGTTAATATTAAAAAGTCAATTGCTGTTGTACATCATGTGAAGGAAAGTAGTCTGGTATGCAGAAAATTCATGTGGTAAAATTAATATTCATTCATGGTCTTAGCAAATATGGATAGAAAGGAACTTCCTTAATTGCACAAAGAGTAACTTAAAATATAACAAGCAGCATGCTTAATGGTAAAATAGTGAAAGTTTTCTCAAAAGGTAAAAAAAAAAAATAGAGAATGATATCTGCTGTCAGTAATTTTATTCAGCTTTATACAGATGGACCTAGCCGAGAAAGTAAGGCAAGAAAAAAACAAAAAACATAAATATTGGAAAAGAAGTAAAGGTTTTATTTGCAGATGATATAACTTTGTACGTAGAATATTCTGAGGAATATACAGATAATTAAAATTAGTAAATTTAGCAAGCTCTCTGCATACAAGCTTATTATGCAAAAATTATTTTTAATACATCAGCAAAAAACATAGGAAGTGAAATTTTTAAAAGCAGTACCACCTACAAAAATTCTCAAGTGCCTAGGTGAAAAATGTCTAACATTTTCAAGAACTGTATCCAGAAAAAAACTATAAAACACAGGGATATATCTTGTTCATGGGATTCCAGGACAATATAAAAAGATGTCTGTTTTCCCTAACTTAATTCATATATTCAATCTTAAAAATCCTAGCAAGTTCTTTTATGGAAATTAACAAGCTGATTCTAAAGTTCATTGGAACATTCAAAAGACCAATAATAGTCAAGGCCATTTTGCATAATAGGGCTGAAGGATTATATTGTCCTAAATATCAAGACCTGTTATAAAGCCATAGAGATTATGAAGGTGTGGTTTTGGCCTAAGATTAAAAAAAATGAAAACTTGCTAATTTGAATATACTAGGTTTAAGAACTTTTGTTTATCAGAAAGACACCATTAAGAAAGTGAATAGGAAGCCACAGAAGGGGAGAAGATATTTGCAATTCATACATGTGACAACAGGATTCAGTGAGAAAAAAAGTAAACCTTTTCATAAGAGGGCAGATAGTAAATCTTGGGCTTTGTCACAGATGCTCAACTTTGCTATTGTAGTGTGAATGCAGCCAGAAGCAATACATAAACAAATGAGCATGGCTGTTTCCCAGTGAAACTTTATTCATAAACACAGGTGGCAGTCTGGATTTGGTCTGCAGCTCATAGTTTTCTGGCCCCTATACATCTAGACTATGTAAAGAGCACCTGCAAATCAAGGAGTGGGGGAAAAAATGGAAAAGACAAAATGCTTGGCCCATCAGCTTCACAAAACAGGATATCCAATGGCCAATAGACATGAAAAGGTGTGTTACCTTTATCAGTAATCAGGGAGGTGCAAATTTGAAACACCATGTAGTACTATTAATACTACCCACCCACTGAAATGATTAAAATGAAAAACACAGAAAGAAACATCAAGTTTTGCAAAGATGTAAGCAACAGGAACTCTTTACTACTGGGGCAATTGCCAATTGACAAAGCCATTTTGGAAAGCTGGCACTTACAGCCAAGCATGTGTATACCCATGTACCCAAACCCAGCAGAAACACACGGTGTGTCCACCAAAGGGCATGCACTAGAATAGTCACAGTGTAAAACTGCAAAAAACAGAACTATCTTACGGCATATGTGCAGTAGAATCAATAGACTTAAGGGGTTTATTTCCACAGTAAAATATTGTAAAGCAATGAGAATGAATGATCTGTAAGTCCATGCAATAATGTAGCTGACTTTTACAAACAGTGCTAAATGAAGGAATCCAGACACAAAAGCAAAACGTAGTGTGTGATTCCATCTATGTACAGCATAAGGACAGGCAAAACTTCTCTACTGCGCAATTAGAAATCAGGATATAGGTTAGCTTTGACCAAGGCTGAAAAGGGGTATTTATCTGGTGCTGGAAATAATCTGTATCTAAATCTGGGTGCTGAATACCTTGAGTGTGTTCTGAGCTGTGTCCTTAAGTGTATTTTTCTGCATGTGTATTATACTTTCCATAAAAATTTTCTAAAACCACAAATGGCTAACATTTGTGTTGCTCAGCACTGTTTCATCATATTTTTCTAGATGTATGTGAATATGCTGCATAACAGGAATCAAATGGTAGATTTTGCAGAATTCTGTACAGGAAATGCATACTCTTTATAGTAGTTTCAATGGCAACTACTAAGATTTCCTACACTGTGTCCTTAAAGCTTAGCATAATGTATATTTTAAATAAAATATTTGGAAAGGTTAAAGGATCATTACATACTTTGTCATCCTACACTTTTGCGTATATAAATGGATGTGAACTGCCTCTTCAATAAAAAGCTACTGCATAACGTTTCATGTTTTCTCTGGCATTGTTTTTCACATTTCGGAATTTGGGATGACTTGGTGAAAAATTATATTAAAATTTTTTCAGCTAACCCTCTCAGCAAATGTAAGATACACAGTTGTTAACAGCACAAGTGTGAGTGAAGAAACAGGTGACGACAACTTTGCACTGTGAAAAATAGAAGCACTTTGGGTGGGTGCTGGCTGAGCTTTCAAAGCACAGCAGGGACTACATACGACACCTAATGGCGTGGACGTGTATCTGCTTTTTGTTTCACCTTTCTCATAGAGGATTAAGCTTGAGGTGTGAACAGATTACTAATGTTTTGCATACCAGAGGAGAAGGAGGAGTGTGGGACTTGGAGGTGTGATTCCCCCACGTGGGCAAATGTTGCTCTCAGTCTACTGGGGATAAGCACTAAAGTGAGGCTGTGGCTGTCCCTTCAATAGCATGAAACCTGCTCGTTTCATCAGGAGATGTTACTACTGCTTGACTTGGGGTCAGTTAACTCTTCAGTTTTGTTTCTAAAATATGTTAAAAGACATTAATGCAAGACTACTATTTGAGGCCAAACATTCACCCACTATTCCTTATTCTATCTCAAATTATGTCCAGATATGGGGAAACCAAGCTCTTCAAAGAGGGGATGCCTATAACATACAGCACAATAGTGTTACAGCATGCCCCAACTTTCATCATGTGAAGGCCACAAACAAAATAATTTCCCCCCTAATTGCCACATCGGTAATCGTGTCAAAAAATAAACTCCCTTTCACATTAAAGGAAGAAGTTTGGTTTCTGTCAAATTGGTGAACTCCCATGGAATCGCTGGCTTGTGAGCAAAGGGCATGGAGTGAAAGTAATGTTGAAAATCCTCTGAGGGAAGGTGGGACAGTCGTGGTCTCTCAGTGAAGGAAGGTGTGACAATGAAGACACTGGTGGAAATATGGCATCTGAGCAAAACTTTCAACATAAATTCTTTTCTCCCCACATTACCCAAGTCAGTTCACCCCATGACCTGATGGCACAGTGGGACAGGGACACGAGCACTTAGTAGCTCAGCACTACCTGAACCAGCAGACCCCGGCCGGAGCGGGGGCCAGGTGGAGCGAGCACAGGCAGGGTGTTTAGCTGGAATGCTTCCTCCTTGCTCCAAAAGCTAAGCTTTTACGACAACTGAAGAAATTTGACATGTCTTAGTGGTGACTTTTTAAAAGGGGTCGGGGCCGGGTGCAGTGGCTCACGCCTGTAATCCTAGCACTCTGGGAGGCTGAGGCAGGTGGATTGCTTGAGGTCAGGAGGTCAAGACCAGCCTGAGCAAGAGCGAGACCCCATCTCTACTAAAAATAGAAAGAAAT